GCCATCACAGTTCCTCTCATGTAGGTAAGTCCTTCAAGGGTACTATAGCTGGATATCATACCCTCCGCAATACACGCGTTGGACTTATTAAGAGTAAAACTCACCCTAGCCAACTGTATCATAAGAGCATCGTTACCATAGAGAAGAGTTAGTAGCAGATGCTACCATAATGATATATAAATATATCTAGATCGATGCTCCACACGAGTATCACTAGTCCAACTTGTTACTACTATATTGAACCTACATTGGGACTGTGTCTCCAAATAAAGGTTGGATTACCATTGTTAGTGACCTTACTTATGGGCTTAACCCCATCTCCCTCGATGAATCCAGAAACACACTCCTGGATAGACCTTTAGTCAATGGATCATCAAAATTCTTCTCAGACTATACAAAGTCTAGAATCACAAATTTTGCCTAGCATACGTTGTATATATTTATCAAGTCCTTAGATTATTTTATAATTAGTCCTTCATATTATTTGAAATTGACATTAGGTCCTCTTCTTGTTAAGTTATTTTAAAATTAGTATCTCTAGGCAAGAGTACAAGTAGCAAGAGGAGGGATTAATTTGAAACAGCTTATAAGGATAAGGGAACCTAACACCAATTTTTAATTATTTGATGGACTAATTTCAATATAACTTTTATTCATCATATAGATAGAAGTTATAAGATATACCTCTTGATTTGATTTTCCAAAAGAATTTGATTCATCACATCTCCTGTAACAAGGCATATTAGTTGACAGAGCATATTTATATCAACTCTAATCATTTCTTGAAATCTCAAGAGAAAACATTATACATGTAGTCAAATGAAGAACTATACAATGATTCTTCCTAGTCACTATTAAAATGATAGGACATTAAAATATGTTTAGTATAGTTATTGATGTCTCTTATCAAGAAACAATGGATTATAATAATTTGACATTTTCATTTTAAATGTCTAAGGTTTCAAAAAAGATTTGATATGCGGTCATGTCAAGTAGAAATTGTAATTATCAAGGAAGAAATAGGAAGCAAAAGAACAAAGGGTTTGTGCAGATTGGAATTTGGCCCTTAACTTCTGAACATTTCAAACTAATGTGGAACTAAAATACTACAGATATGCATGCATATGCACATACATGAATAAAATTACTAATAGTTACATGCAAAGCATTCAAGAGAACCTTATAATAGGATTCCATATCTTAAAGAATATTTCATACTTCATATATATAAATTTTTAAAAATTCTCCTATTATAAGATGTTGCAAATTGGTTGCCTACAAAAAAGCCCTTCCAAATTTAAATCGGTTTCCTACAAAAGAGACCTTCCAAATTTACGTGGCCATTTTCTAATACCACCTCTTAAACATATCATTTTGATATTTTAAATATTTTTTTAATTTTTTTATACACACGTGCTTTAAATTTTAATAAGTGCATTTTTGCATAAATCCTTGTAATTAATCATGTAACAAATGCAAGTGATCTAATATGACATATGAATATTTATTGTAATATTCATCATAATGCAATAAAAGAGATAATCGTTACTTCTGAAGGTTTAAAAAAATAATTCACCATATAAAATAGAATTTAAAAGATGCATAGATTGCAAGATGATATTAGAGATCTAGCTGTCCATGTTTTCCTATAACCGAAGTCATATTATATGAATATTTTTCTAGGTAATTGATTGTTTCTTTTAAAATATTAATACTTTGTATCGTTAGTTAACATTTTACTCTTTGAAATTCAATATCTGGACACCAATAATTGTATATCAAGACAGGGCTCCAGACTAAAAACCCACTAGACAAATCGAATAAACAACATTAGGGGATTGTGAAGTCTAGCCAGAATATCCATCTAATTTCCCAAAGAAGGCACGACAAAAATTTAACTACAAGTTAGCAAACAGATGCAATTACCTCCACTCCTAGAAAATTCACTGATGATGAGTGATAAGAGGCTATTTTTTCCCAATTGAGCATGACATGCAGCGTTTTTGATACACTTAACATTCACATGGCCCTTAACCATTTGAGATTAATTATCATCATATTATCAATCATCCAAGTTTCTCATCAAAACAAGGCTCTACTGGTAAGTAGTCGATTAAAATCCTCTAGATATGAGCCTAGAAGCAAAATGACATGGTATGCTCGAATCTAGCAGAGGATGAGAAAGAGGCACAAATGTTTTTGGAAGAAACACATGCGTTGCATAGCAAGCTAGATTAATTACTAGTCAAGAACAATTAATAGCAATTAATCAATTACAATAACTAATTAATTTCAACAATTAATTACAGTAATTAAATCAGATTAACAATAACAGTAATCTCAAATTAATTTTTCCAATGAACAGTAATGAATAGTTTCAGCAAATCTCACGGATAAAAACGGTTTAATGAACAGTAACTGTATTTTCCCGAGTGAACAGTAACAGTTGATGAACAGTAATTTAATTTTTTTCTCAATTTTAAAAATTAACAACTATATCGTCAATCTTCTATATTGTTGGAAAAAAAAATCAAATAAAGTTATACCATGCAGATAAATCCGAATAAAATAAACAATAAAATCTGGCGTGAATGAGATGTAGTCGTGCAAGCATTGCTCTAAAAAATTAAGGACCCGCCTATTGCCCTGGTGCAGTCAGTCCCCTCCCCCTAGCGACAAAAGCCCCCAGAAATAGTCGGCCTCTGTATTCGGGTGGGACTGCAGAGCTTTTGCTCAGACGAAGACGGTTGCCGAATACTTATCACCCTTATCAGTAATAACAATATGAAGCATAAAGAAAGACAACCACACAATCACCAAAACCACCATCTTCCTCCTCACTGAACAACAGTGGCTCCTCCTCTGTTATGAAGGTTACAAAAAGGGAAAAGGTGGAAACGTTTTTTTCCCTCTCTTAATTGAGGTGGAGACTGTGGAGGGGTTTTTATATTTGTGAGAGGAGAAAGAGTCAAAAGACAACAATGTGGTTGTTGAAGGCACGAGTAAGGAAAAGGTGGGGTTAGTGGGAATTATGGAGTTTTTGGTGGAAGTTAGGTGGCAATATTGACTTTTTCCACCAAAAGGGAAAAATGTGTCCAGGTCCCAAAAGCGAAAACTTTATGTGACGAGGTCTCTTGTATTCTGTCCTATGTGGATAAGCCCCAAATACACATTATTTGTGACGATGCCCCAAAGTATCGGTTTTCAAAAAAAGCCTAGTCGAAGTTACGAACTTGCCCATTTGATGAGACTGAACTCGGTTACTGCGTCCCCTCCCTATTCATGTACCCTCTCTCTCTCTCTCTCTCTCTCTCTCTCTCTCTCTCTCTCTCTCTCCCCCCCCCCCCACTGCTTAGGAGCCACCGAAACTCTTGAATTTTCAATTTTCTCGTCGGATTTTAATAGTGCTAGGTTTTTCACCAGAAAAATGTCATTCAGGGAAGCAGAATTCGTTAACGACTACGAAGTCGTTCATCGCGGCGAGCTGAAGGACAAAGACGGTTCATCTGGGGTTGGCAGCGCAGAGGAAGCCACTCAAACCCTTATGGAAATGCAAAGGCAGGCAGTAGAATGGCGAGACCGGAAAAGAAGAGCGGCAAGGGCTGGCAGTAGTTAGGAGTTTGGGGGTTTTGGATGTTTTTGGTTTTAGTTTATTGGTCTGTATGTAAAAATTGTGCAAGATTTTTGGATGGAAAAATGTGAAAATTTTAGGAGGTGTTAAATTGACGTTGGTTCTAACAATTATTCCTAGGTGCGTAAATTCCTTGGTAAAAAATTATGCTATGTATAATATTAGTATATTTAAAAAAGAAAAAATTATTTTCATGTTAGTTCTAATGGATATTATGTTAGTTCTAATATCTGTGTTAGTTTTAGTGGATTTCGTGTTAGTTTTAATGGATATCATGTTAGTTCTAACATGCCGTGAGTTAGAACTAACATAAGAGCTCAAGAACCTAGAACTAACATGAATTAGAACTAGAACTAATGTACGGTGAGTTAGAACTAACATGCCATGGGTTAGAACTAACATAAGAGCCCAATAGCCTAGAACTAACATGAATTAAAACTAGAATTAACAAGCCGTGAGTTAGAACTAACATAAGAGTCCAAGAGCCTAGAAAGAACTAACACAAGAGACTAAGAGTCTAGAACTAACATGAATTAGAACTAGAACTAACGTCCGGTGAGTTAGAATTAACATAAGAGCCCCAAGGCCCAAGGCCCAATCAAAGACCTTCAAATTATATTGTAGCTGCAAGGGTTTGAACTCCTGACCTCCTCTCCAAATTCCTAAGCTTTACCATTAGATCAAGTAGCCTAAATTATTTATGTTAGTTCTACTTAAAGTTAGCTTTAACATGAATTAGAACTACATGAAATAACTTAGAACTAACATTAAATAACTTAGAACTAATACGAGTTATTGCTCATGATAGAGTTTAAAAAAAAGACAGAAAATTTTCCTCCATTTTTTTCGTCAGATCACATTAATGGACGCGACTTTCCATGTTTTTGGGGACCAAACGTCTGAGGAAGATAAGTGGAGGGGTAATTTCGGGTTTTTTTTCAAAATACATTCTCTTTTTTTGTGCTGCTGACATGGAGGGGCCTTAAAAAATTAAATGATACTTTTTGGTGCTGAATCACATGAACTAAAATACAAAGGAGTTGGTCACATGAAGTCCCTACTTTTGGGTCTCGACATAAATTTTCCAAAAAAAAAAAAACACCAAAAAGTGAAAGAATGTTGGACACGGAAAATGGTGGAAAACAACCAAACATCCCCTAAATTGAAAATGCGGGATTGGGTCTGGTACCATTTGTAAGAAGCCGAGGAGGACTCATCTGTGATGCTAGTATCTAAATTAGACTACCCCGCGAAAAATTGGTCTGCTGATATTAACTGAACGGTTGAACGTCCATACGTCTTGGGGATGTAGCTCAAATGGTAGAGCGCTCGCTTTGCATGCGAGAGGTACAGGGTTCGATCCCCTGCATCTCCATTTTGGTTTTTAATTTTAATTTATCTCTGACTCTATTACATCAATTTTGCAGATTGCCGCCCTATTCACAAAACAGAGGCTTTAGTTACAACCAAAAAGTCTTTACTCATCAGTCTGTGGATTCTACAATTTATTTGTATCTCAGTTTTTCCAATCTCTATACTAATTTTCATAATTTTCGCCCAACACGGTGATGTTCTTTTTTACACCCCCAATATTATTGTATGGTTCTCTTACACTTCTTGATATGGTGTGATTATGATGCCACTGCAGTCCAGTAAGCGGTCAAGCAAAGGCTGGTTGGTGTTCCGATAATCCGAACCCATTCCCATTCTGCATCGCCAGACCCTTTCTGCAACTCCGCCAACTGTCCGATGAAATGCCCGTGTCAGTATATCAAAACTTTTCATCGTTTCTATTTTCTGATGTATTCCAAACGAAAAAAATGATTTTATTGCTATAACATTTTGTTTGTTTGATGAATTTTATTGGTCTCATATACATTTCATAATGTGGCTAATTTAGTTTCTGATGAAATGGATGCGATGCACATTGAATTCGATTGATATACTCGTCTCATGCAATATGGGCCATGCACTTTTTGGATTTTTATATGCCATTTCCTTGATAGTTTGTGTAAGTTTCAAAATTTTAGCGGATTATGTTGTATAATTCTTATATAAATTTATTTATACTCCGGTTAAAGTTGCAATTGTGTGTAACAAAAAGTATGCCCATTTATAGTTTGCTTATCCTTTCATCTTGTATATGCCTCATAAACATTCAAATTTCACTGATTCTTATGGTGCAAATGTGTTTACAAGATGTAATGATTTCTTTTTTATGTTATGTTTACTACTCGAAAAAATCTATTATCATCACGATTATTTCAAAATTTTTTGGTATGTATCTTTTCACGATATATTTTACCAAAGTGTATTTCTAAAATTGCCAGTTTGCTCCAATATGAGTAATGCATCAACAGTTACTGTACTTACCCTTCCATCTTGTAATTCGAATATTACTGACCCTTCAGAAAACGGTATAGGCCTTGTCGGAGCCACCTGCAAGTTTCCAATTTACCAATTATGTATTAGCTTGCCGAATTTATGCACACATTTTTTATTTAGCTTAAAGCTGGTCACCATCTTCTATTATACTTACTAACCTTTTCATTGCAACTTCCCTTGATACTATCAGTGTAGTGTTGATCCTCCTCAAACTTAGCCACATTTTCATCATCAGCACCACATTTCTGATTTTCGCTACTTCTCCTAGGAGCTTCCAAAGCTCCATTTTGTGTATAGGGATACCCATGACTTGTCCATTTCCATGTAATTTGATCCAAATGCCTTCTATAAACACAGCCATCTGATCCAACAACAAACAATTGAGTACCATCAAAGCTCGGGCCAGGTGCACCAACTAATATGACATCTCTATATGGAGTTCCATGCTCAACCCATTCCCATCCTACTAATGAATTCCAATTGTATTCAACAAGTCCACCATTTTCTGATATCATGAAGAGAGAGCCAGTTAGCGATAGTGGTGATGGCCTCATGGCTGTCCCTGGGGATCTTGAGAGGACTAGGTAAGGAGATTGGTAATGCTCATGCCAGAGGTCGGTGATACTGTTGTATTGGTATAGATGACCGTTTCTTCCCACAATGAAAATTATGTTTAGTCGGAAGACTTCTTGGTCTACTATGTATGCGATCTTTATGTTGGGTGGGCTTCGACAATCTTTCCACTTGAATTTTCGTAGTGCCACCTGTTGTTTTGTAAGTTATCAAAATAATCGTGAGGTGCAGAGCGTAAATAAGAAGAATATGCAAAGTGGACCATAAAAGTCTACTGGGAACATCATAGTTTTAGCTAGTATAACTACATATGTACAGATCATGGTAGCTTCCACATACAATTGTATAAATTCCTCCCCTCCAAATAATTACCAATCTTTAAAAGGAAAGAGCTTTGCTATCTCGCTGTTAAAGCTGTATCACTCATTGTTCTTGTAGAATTCTCTGATCATAGACATGAGAAAACAAATAGGACACGTGATGCTTGTCATACATTCAGTTTAGTTATATCTTTTTTCTCTCGCACATCTTACACTTTCTCTAATTATGGAAAATGTTCGATCTGACATGCAAATAATTAAACGGATTTGTAAAAAATATTTAATAAATTCTTTTGGCTGTCAATACATATATTCTGGGTAAAAATGTAAAAGCACATTAAATATGCTACAAATCTCTCCTTGCATCTTTTAGGTGTTCCATGCATACAATATGTCACACTGTTGAACACTCTAGTTCAGATGGTCAACAATCATACATGCTAAACATTAAGAAGTTGTGTAATTAACAGCTCAAGGAGTTCTGAGTCTCTTGAAGCCGCAACATTTCATATCATGTATAATTCGTCATCATATAGAATGGAACATCATTGTTATTATATGTACATATTGTAAAGTTTCTTGAGAACACACACACATGGAGACACACACACACACACACACAGAGTCATACTAAATATGAGCTGCTAACTCATTTTGCAAACTGAGATAAAAAATTGAAGTGGTAAGGTCAACACCTCCTGATTTTGACTAGCAGAGCGGGCCCCACCACTAGTCTATCTCTTGGTAGCACATTTAGAGTCATACCCATTATATATTATTTTCTTGTATATTGCAGAGTTAATTACGACAATATATGTTCCTATCTTATTATGTTAAAACATATTGTTATAACAATTAGTTCACAAGAATATGATGTTAAAGTAGCTTTTCCATAAAACATAAAAAATTAAGGTGATTCATGATATATCTCCAACAATAGTTAACCATGTAACTTTGATATAACAATGTGACTGCACTTAAAGTGAGAAATGACAGTTATTTGAATGTTTACCGTAAACTGTATTAGCCTTCCCTTTTTGTTGACAAAATATAGTGCATCTTCTGAAGTAACTCTCCGAACCGTGCCAGGTATAACATCCCACGGGGGTCCTGATTCAACGTGTCTACCATTCTTCATTGCCGTGCAATTGATCCACAATAGCTCATTTCCACTTCTTTCTCTTAAAAGTAAGCTTCCATGTGTGTCAACCAAAAACAAACTACCATTGTAGCTTCCTAAGGCCCCTTTAATAGCCGTCGATTGCTCGTGCCTCAGCCACAACCAAACATTTTCAGTATACAAATATTCAAAAGTCACACCACTGTCTGTGATGAAGAAGAAAGACCTATCAGGATGCATCATTCTCATTCTGAAATTATCGTATATAGTTTTAGTTATGAAATTATTAGATTCGGATGCACTGTTATCGTAATTAGGCAAAGATATGTAATGATGGTGATCTTGTGACTTTCTAAATGTAAGTATACTCTTTGTTCCTGCAATGCAATTTGAAGGACCATTTTCCTCAGTGCAGTACTCAGCATTCCATCCTTCAGTTTCTGGGGCATCTAAGATGGACCATTCATACTTATTTGATGTTTTCCTTCTGTTGCTGATTTGAAGAGTTGGGCCTATGTTTTCTCCACCAATGCCAGTCAAGTGGAGCTCCCCGAGTCTCCCATCGTCCAATGGGAATATAAACCTCCCTGTTTGAATCTGTACTCCATGGATTCCTCGTGCAATCTTTGCTTGTTTTGGATGATTATGGTTCAACCATAGCCCTTCTATTTCATCCCCGTGTTTGACACCTTTTTTTGAACAAAAGATGCTAGTCAATTTATTGGCGGAAGCATCTCATTAAAGATGAGATAGGTAAATAATAGTACATTGATGTAGGAACAACTTTCTCTTGAAAATCACAAAAGAAGAGATGAAGAACAGAAGGAAGAAGATGGTCATGACTTCTTTTAAAAGTAGAATTTTGACTTAGTAGAAATTTTCTTGTAGCCTTATCCATAAAAGACAAACTATTAGTTAGGATTTTAATTGAATTAAACATCCTGTTAGAATCTACTTTTTAGGAAAGGATTTTTTGTATGATTAAAATTTATCCTTATTAGATAATTCATTTTTTGGCAATTAAGTTAAAATAAGTCTATAAATTACTAATTTTTCTCCAACGAAAATATGACGAAGATGTTGTGAAAATTTATGATTTCTATGGATTGTGTGATTCAATCTTGGGTGTGAAATCCTACTTTTGCAGGTGTTAGACCTCAATTGGTGTGAGGTCATTGATTCAGTCATGAGGACATTGATCAAGCATGAGGCTGAAATTTTAACTTTATAGTCTTCTTCTTTATTTTAATCTTTCCCCCCCTTTCTGGTACCCATTGTCCATTGCAAACGAGCTGAATATTAAGAGTTTTACTGCACATATATTTGAATAATCGAATTAGAAGTTATATCCTGTGGAGTTCAATTCTTGTTACGATTTCTGACAAATTCATCATAAAATTTCTCAAAAAAAAGTATTAAAAATGGAATATTCATCAATAACTATGGTTTTCTATAACTCAAGCATACCTGAATTTTTAGGAAGCTGATATTCATATACAGATCCACCAGTTGTCGTGAGAAACAGCGAGAGCATCCTCTCATTTATATCATTTTGTTGGGCAGATGTGATGGCACTGAAGTAGTAACCCTCAGGAGCGCCATGAACTCTCCACTTCCACTTCCTTTTGTGCAAGCGCCGCTCTACTAGAAAACCATCCTGTATATCCATGAAGCCCTTTAATGGATATGGCAAATGAGCTTCTAAATTGTGGCACCTAGTACCAAGAAGTCTTTAAATATCTTTAGTTAGGTCACATTGTAATTTGTGAATTAATAGCTGAACTTGAAACTGTATGCATACATTCATTTTTTGAAGACTATTTTTCATGATTTTCTATTTATGGGATAAGAATCAACTAGTCATTGAAAATACCAATTGCAGATATACACAAAGAGTTACTCCCTCGACAACTTTCTGTTCTGAATATGCTTATTTTGAGCATCATGTTGTCCTTCAAATTTTGGTTGGTTTATATAACATAATCATGTTCTTCGACGCACCTACATAACTCCTTTTTCTTTGTATTCTTCTAGATTATTTCTTAGCTTAGTTTATTTGACAATTTCTCTCATGATCTTCTAATTATATTACCCCAGTAAGGTAGAAGTCACACCCTTCAGCTGGCCTTCTAGGTTCTATTAAGCTCTGTTGTCTTAAAGTTGCTTTGGCTTGAAATAAGTACCATATGAAATTAGGCCGAAAATCAATCAATAAAATTGTTCAACTCTTTTGTAGAGCTTTCTCAAATTTTGGTTGTGCTCCATTTGACCACAACAGAATGGTGGATGGCTTTCATGATGATTAGTTGAGCTGTTGCTCTTGTACTATGCAAAAATATCTCGCATTTATGTTTAAAATAATTTATAAGCTGAAAGTGATATTGCCAATGTATCAGAGAATGATGATATAAAGCCACAAAATACCTTGGTTAAAAGGAAAAGAGAGTGTGAATGAGTTCCCGATATGCCATTTATACGACAACCTGTCAAGGGTGCCAGCAAAATTTCCTTCGTTGTTTTCTCACTCCAAATGTGTTTCTTCCATGCTGGCTTAGATTTCCTGTCAAATTCATAGAGATCTCCCAAAGTACTGCATTAAAGAGAGCAATCAAGTATAATAGAATTGTCAATTAGTCGTATATTAGATATGGATACACACACAAAAATGCGGATGTCTTTTAGAGGGGTTAATGCATGTAAGATAGTAACTACATTCGCAATTAGAAAGGTCCAATATTTTCAGAACTCTTTTATGGAAATATTGTCATAATTACTGTTTTACCAAGTTCACAAGCATATCATCTTCTAATATCCTCACTGATTTAAATATACCCTAGGCCACAGATCATATTTGAATAAGCAGTCAGTTCATGGAAAGATTCTAGTATTCAATTTGTATTGTCTTTGATATCCAGTCTTCGGCTCTAAGTTGGATTCGTTAGTTGCACAAGCCAGCTGATGGGTTGAAGTCTCAAGTAGAGAGTGAATTGCAGACTTGGTTATCATATTTACAGGGCCATAGCAAGATGAAGCTTGCATTCATTACTATGTTATCATGCAGGATGAAATTATGGTTGCATTCATTATTAAACTGTCTCTTTTTATATAGGATGAATTTCACAAAATCCCGTGAACTTTATACTGAACCTCTGAACTTTCAAAATTATACCATTCCCTGAAATATTGGAACTTTACATGAACGGCATTCTCAGGTGGGGCAAAAAGTCGAAAGTACCAAAATTCTACTGTTTTACCCTTACCCAAAAAGATTAACATAGGAGTTGTATTAAGTAAATAGGGGACAAATTGTTCAAAAGGTTTGACATGCGGAACCCGTGGCAACTTTTTAGGGTAACCATCAGTAGTCATGGTACTTAAGCGACACAAGTTCAGAAGACTTATCTATGATATATATGTATATGTGTGTGTGTGTTTTTGGGTTGTTTTTTTTCTTTTTCTTTTTTTTTGGCGGGGGGTGGGGGTGGGGGTGGGGTGGGGCGTGGGGTGGGGGGGGGGGTTGTATTTGTTAAATTTACCGTCACATATATCTAATACTGCATACACTATGTTGCTATCTTGGCCATTGAAATTGAAATACAAGGTTGATATTATGATACCTCACGGTAAACACAACACCCGGTCTAATAGAGCCGGAATCAGCTATTGCCACCACATCTCCACCTGGTGGTCGACCGTGATAATACAACCTATTCAAATTCAAAATAAAATCCAAATGTTACTCCGACCTAATTTGGAAAAACAAACTTTTCCACAAATTAGATGCATGAAAATTCTTGCAGGCCATTGGCAGATTATATTAAATATTCTTACTAGCAGCTGCTCCCACCTTAAAGGCTGAATCTCACTGATCTCTAATAGTGACCCATTTGTGGTTGATAAGTACAACCTCCTGTCAGTAAACCACAAATGAATTATTACGGCTTCGATCTTGCCTATTCAGCAGCTATAGAATAAGTAAAGGACTAATGGTATAGATAACGTGTAAATATGTACCAGGCTACTCACTCTCCATCATTAGATACAAGGCCTGACTTGATCCTCATTGTTGATTTTTGTTCTGTTCCTGCTGTGTGTATCTTTGGGTCTGATAATAGCGTAAATTCAGTCCATATTGGTTGAGAGTTTTCATTCAGTTCAAGCTGAGAGATAACATAACAAAGAAGTTAAATGTCGTGCAGTTAAGGTTCTTGTTCAGCAGAAGTACAGACCTAAGCGAGTAAGAGTTAAAGCTCATCTTAAGTTGCAAGTCTAATCATTCTGGAATTCTTCTTACAGTCTTATGATTGTTAATTTTTATATCTTCTGTCTTATTGCAAGGAGTTGAACTATTAGTATAAGCTGTTTTTTTCTTCACTTGATTGCTTTGAATTGCTGTCATGTTTCTCTAAGATAAGGTGTGATATTTTTCAGGAGATTCTTCATTTTTGCTATGTTTTCCTTTATGCAATATGATATCCAGATTTGTGATCAGAATGGTCCATGCTTTTATAACAGAAGAGAGAGCATTTATAGATCATTTATGTTATAGTTGACATTGTACTTTCATGATCTGTACGAATTTAATGCAGCTCTATTCTATGAATCGTATTTTCCAAATGCTACCAGTCGAAGGTAATTTGATATTCAAAAGTAGTCTTTTTGTTTTGCAAGGGATGAAGTAGTTGCCAAGGAACCAATTGAATGACAATTTCTCCATCAACCAGGTGAAAAGCATTATGTTAAAGGTGTGTGGTATACTGACTTCAATAATCTTAGCTCTGTTATAAATGTTTCTTATTTATAACTTTTGATGTATTATTATTATTATTTTTTATTTTTCTTATTTTGTTTCTTCTTTATTCTTGCCACTTGCCGGCACTCCGTTGCTGAGTCTGTTATTCTCTATATCACGAAGAGAATATAAAATATAATTGTTTTACTAAACCTGAATTATTATAGCTCCCTACCTACAAAGGGCAGGTGAACCAGGATTATAGGCAACAGCAAGTTTACCAAGAGGCATAAAATCAAATAGTATGCATGGGAAACTAGTTCTTTAACAAGGATGTTTTTTACCTGATAAAGCATCCCAGCCTCTGATAGAGAAAGAATAGTTTGATTAATTATGAAAACCGAAATCGCTTGACCTGCTGAAGTTGGTAATTCATGGGGAGCAATTACCCATTCAACTCCATTCCAGAACCTTTCATAGATTGATCCACTCTGCCCCGTGACCCAAAGAGACGATTCTGACATCCTAGTAAGCGATAGCCTCTTCCTTAGAGGCAAAACCAGTTCAAGACCGTCTTCTTTTGTGATCTTAGCTCTACTTTGTTTCTCCTCCGTCTTCTCAATTGACCCAACTTTAGTACAGTTCCCGTCGACGCACGACATTAGATCAAAAGGATAGCTGATTTCTACCCATCTTTTACTTGTCTGCTCGAACTCCCAGAACTTAGTAGCTTTCTGCTGAAATTTTGCACTTGTTGAATCTCTATTCGGAGTTGGACACCACGAATCACAAGAAATACCAGAACTGAGCAGGATAAGGACTGCTGTCCATAAAGCCCGGGAGCTTAGATCAACCATCATCATCTCTCTGGGATCTCTGCATGGAAATCATGTAGAGGTGATCTAGGATAAATCAGGAAATATCATACCTCTATGCTGAGGCTTTGTACTTAGAGATGTCCTCTTGGTACCCAGATGGCTGCTAGAGATAGTTGTCTGTTGTGAGCGTATGAATCTTTGTGGTGTATATATATTTCATATGCATAAACTTTTGGTGAGATGTCATGTGAGGACAGAGAGAAAGTCACCTGGATGGGTGCTTGAGTGGTATGCTCTCCCTTTCATTCTTTCAAATCAATTTCTTTTCTCCCGACCAATGTACGTAGTTTTAAACGTACAGGTTGTTTTCCTGAAGTTTTATAGCTTAGTTTTTTTACATCGTAACTTGCATTCATACTCCATGCATACATAGAAACAAACAAGTTATTATTCTTTTTCCTAGATCTCTCAGCTGTTAACAGCAGATACTAGGTCTTCAATTCATTTCATTACTGATTATTTATGTGACTCTTACGGTTAGGTGTGTGGGATGTATTGCTTGATTCCATATTGAAAGCAATACGTATAGTCTTGCAAATACTTTGTTTTTTGTTAATTGAAGGATAAACCCCCCATAAAAAGGGCTCCAGCCTATTGGCTTTTTTGGGGTTAATTTCAGAAAACCCCCCCTAACCTTGGCGATTTTGCAGATAACCTCCTTAACTATTTTAATTTTTGCACATGACCCCCTATACTTCTTTGTTCCACTAAACCCTTGAAGATTTTTCACTTTAATCCCTCAAAGTAACACCGTCAAGTGTAATGCGTCACATGCCAAGCACGTGATAAAAAAGATGAAAATACCCCTCTGCCCTCAAAACATCAATGGAAATGACGAAAGGGTGATTTTTCATGGAGCGAGGGGTATTTTCCTTTTCCTTTTTTCAGGCCAAAGTGTAGAATTGGCAGAGATCAGGTTCCAGGCTCAGGATTCAGGTTGTCAGGGTGGCGGTCGACCGGCCCGGTCGACCGCGTTCGTGCACAGGAGTTTCTGGGCATCAGGATTGGTGGCGGTCGACCGACGCGGTCGACCGAAGATGGTAGCGGTCGACCGACGCGGTCGACCTGGGTCTGTTTTCCAGACCCGTTTCGTTTGGGTTTTCTATAAATACCCAAACTTGGTTTTAGGGTTTGTAAGCAAGGGGTTTTAGCAGCCATTGAGGGTGAGTTATTGGGCTTCTATTGTTGGAGCAATTGGGAGAGATCAAGAGTGATTTATTGAGGGTTTTTGGTGAGAGATTGTAACCCTAGTTGTATCCCCTTGATTTCTAATAGTGAAAAACTCCCATCTCCTTGCCCCGTGGACGTAGGTATCTTGCCGAACCACGTAAAACTGGTGTTAGTGATTGTTTGTGCTTGTTGGTGTGTTGGTTTATCTTTTCTTGGCGATTGGTTTGGATTCTCGAGGCACAACAAGTGGTATCAGAGCTCCGGGCAACGCTTGGGCTTTTTGGAGGGGTAGATCAGTTGGGAAGTTCATCTAGAGCTTCGATTGGTGATAAATGTGGGATCTTTGTGATAAAGTTTCTATCTTTTTTCAAGTTGGATCTATTTTCTTGATTGTTCAGCAATTGTTTGGGTGCTTTGAGATTATGGCCGGAAAGGATAAATATGGGGAGGGTTCTTCTAGTGTGAAGACCGTCCAAAGTTTGAATATACACTCTTTGAAAATTGATGTGGAAAAGTTCAACGGCACAAATAATTTTGGACTTTGGAGATGTGAAGTCATGGATGCGCTAAATGCGCAAAATTTGGAAGATACATTGGAGTTGGATGGGAAACCGGCCGACATTGATGAAAAGGTTTGGAATAAAATGAATAGAACGGCGTGTGGTGTGATTAGGTCTTGCCTTACCCAAGACCTTAAATATGATGTGATGAATGAAACTTCGGCAAAGAAGATTTGGGAGGTCCTAGAGGGCAAATATTTGACGAAGAGCATCGAAAATCGTTTGCATTTGAAGAGGAGGCTTTATCGCTTCCAATTGAAGAAGGGGACATCTATTAGTGATCACATGAACCACTACACGAAGCTACTTGCAGATTTGGCGAACGTAGATGTCATTGTTGAAGACGAGGACAAGACATTGTTGTTATTGAGTTCCTTGCCCGACGAGGAATATGAGACCTTCGTCCTCACTCTTATTAATGGGAAGACATCTCTTTCGTATAGTGAGGTCACCGTAGCCCTTGTGAACTATCAACTTCGAAAGAAGGACAAGGAGACTTCCATTGAGCCGGTTGCGGGGGCATTGGTTGCAAGAGCTAAAGGTCCAAACCGTGGGAGAAGATCGCAGTCTAGAGGGGGCATCCTGCAGTTGGTAGGAATCAGTGTGCCTTTTGTAGAGAGGATGGACATTGGAAAGCCGAATGCCCAAAATTACAAGCCGTGAAGAATAAAGGGAAAGCTATTCAAGTTTCAGAGGTAAATGTTGCCAAGGCTAGTGGCGATGTTTCAGATTCAGATTCTTCAGGCTATTCGTGCCCATGCCCAGCTCTTCCGTCAGTTGATGTTGCCGACTCCACCGAGTGGATGTTGGATTCTGGTGCTACTTACCACATATGCCCTAGAAGGGATTGGTTCTCCAGCTTTCAGGAGTTGGAAAGAGGGGATGCTGTTCTCATGGGTAATGATCACAGATGCCCTATTGGTGGTATTGGTACCGTTCGGATTCGGATGAGTGACGGGATGATCCGGGAGTTGGCTGATGTGAGGTTCGTTCCTCAACTGAGGAAGAACATCATTTCACTTGGGGTATTAGAGGCATCAGGCTATAGGGTGACCTTGGCGGATTCTCGCTTGAAGGTCACATCGGGGTCCATAATTGTGATGAAGGGAGTCAGGCGGAGTAACTTGTATTATCTACTTGGGAGCACGGTAGTTGATAGGGCGCTGACTACTTCTATGGCTAGACTGTGGCATTGTTTGGTGCTGGGGTATATTGTTGGTTATGCCGTGCACAGATTGTTGATGAGTGCTATGACCTGCAGATTGAAGTCCTGTGAGCACACTGGGATAAGCGAGGAGACCGAGGTGGTGTTCAACACTTCTATCCACCGATCGAGGGGTCTTATTGGAGGTGTTCAGTTAGGTATTGGGGGGCCTTCCATGTATGCATCAGTGGGAGGTAATGATTATTTTGTTTCCTATGTTGGGGATTGTACTAGGCATATTTGGGTTGCAACCAAGTCCCGTTGGTATAAAGCCCTAGTAGTCCGCAACAGTTGGAGGAGGTGTATGGGCAGAAAGGTTACCAGTCGTACTTATTCTAGTAGGAGTCCTTTCTTGCATTGGTGCCGAGCTCACGGCAGTTGGAGACACTTCAGAGGGAAGGAGACAGTGGGGCGACGTGATGAGATGGCGGATTTAGTGGGCCGTTCTTTTCTGGAGGAGGATCGGTATTGGTTGTCGAGCAGTGGATCTGGTATTCAGGCTTCGACAGGTTTGGATCATCTTATGAGGTTGCCGACTGCTGCGTATAGAATTGTTAGATCTGGTGGAGCTGCTTTAGATTTTGGTCGGCGTCGGATATTGGGCTACCCAGCACTTGGTCACATCGTGGATGTGAGATTGGATCCGATTGCGCATTTGGGATTCAGGAGTTCATTCGGCTATCAGTTGGGAGCTTCTGAGTTTGGTCTGAGTAGGTTTGTCACTTTGGACTCTCGGCAGGTGGAGAGTATTGATCAGGTCAGAGGAATATCACAGCGGGTGGAGGTTGATGCTACTCCACATTGGGTGGAGATTTCCCCACATACTCCAGGTCATTCTGCATTGTTTGGGATTCCAGCTGAGGTGGCACAACATGGGAGTCATTTATTTATGGGTGCAGATGATGAGGTAGTTGATTTGGATGCAGCTGGTGGATATTTTTTGGATACGGCCATTGTTTCACCTCAGGTGGAGGTGTTCGGATCGCTTCAGTTTGGGGTCGTTGATGATGCTATCAGCCGCAGGTTGGATTGAGGGCCTTTGGAGGCCCATCGGGTGAACTACGTGAATGCTTGATTCCTTGGAGAGGATACGTAGGCAGTCAGTTTTCTGATGCAACCGATTTGGTGAGCGACATCGACATTTGGGGTGAGTGTTCGCACTCCCATTTGGGTCTCAGCAAGTGAGACATTTGGTGTAGTCGGTGTAGGCTCAGTTCGATTTGGTGAGTAGACACAGTTGGTTTTGGGGTTGAGTGTTCGCACTCCCGTTTGGATCTCGACGTGTTGTGATTGGAGTCCGTTGTCATGAGTCCGTTGCCATGGCATACTGGGTGCAACAGTTGAGGTATTGGTTTGATCGGTGTCGGCTCAGTTTTGGAAGAATCTTCGCCGAGGTGGAGATTTGAAGAGATAAGCTCAGGATTCAGATTGTCAGGGTGGCGGTCGACCGGCCCGGTCGACCGCATTCGTGCACAAGGCTTCCTGTGCGTCTGGAAGGAGATCGGTCGACCGGTGCGGTCGACCGACGGTTCTCTGGAGTTTGGGTTTTCTACTGAGAGCTGGTCGGTCGACCGGGCCGGTCGACCGCGAGAAGCGCGGGTTAGAGTCTGGGTCTGTTTTCCAGACCGTTTCGTTTGGGTTTTCTATAAAAACCCAAAACACGATTGAGGCAGTTTGTAAGGCAAGGGTTTTGAGCTGTTGAAGAGTTTTCTTGGGCTTCTATTCTAGGAGGCATTTGCGAGAGATCAAGAGTGAGTTGTGTGGGTTTTGGTGAGAGATGTAACCCTTAGTTTGGTTTCCTTGATTTCTAATAGTAACCCCCCCCCCCCCCCCCCCTCTTGCCCCGTGGACGTAGATCTCTGCCGAACACGTAAAACTGCGTGTTGATTGTTTGTGCTATTGATTGATGTGTTGGTTATCTTTTCTCGGCGATTGGTTTGGATTCTCGAGGCACAACACAAAAGTACGTTAGACTTTGATGGTGTACTTTTTTTTTTTTGGGGGGGGGGGGGTTAAGAGTTTTACTGGAAAAAAAGAAGTTTAGGGGAGTTAAGTGCAAAAAACCTCAAACTTCGGGGGGTTTGTGGAATTATGATAGTTGAGGGGATTATGTACAAATTCCTCCAGTGATATCGGGGTAAAAGAAGTTCAGGGTTTTATAGGCTAAAACCCTCAGAGTTCTAGGGGGGTTCGTAGAATTAAGATAGGTAAGGGGGTTGTATAAAATCCTCCAAGGTTAAGGGGAAGTTTTCTGAAATTAACCCGTTTTCCAATAATTAGATTAAAGTATAATGAAACCAACTGATAAATATGCAGAAGAGGCCCTGTACATCTGTCTCTTGTTGGCGGCATGAATAAATTGGTATATTCACAAATAGACCATATGTGCAGACACTCTAATTTCCACAAAATGTGCACTATATCAAACACACACTGAGATATATCTATATGCATAAAAATAAGTAATTTTTTTAACATCACACTAGGATCTTATTTAATTCATTACTTATATTGCATACTGTAACTCCATGGTAAAGTTAGACGCCCAAATGAATTGCTTGATTTTATCTAAAAAGCCATATGCATACTATTGAAAGCACTTCCTCTTCTCAATGATTGTAGCTTAAAATTTTTCCAATAACAGATTGAAAATCTGATACTATATTTCTCATTTGCAAGTATGGATAAATTGATGTTATTCACAAATAGACCATAAATGCGGCAAAAATCTAATTCTCATAAGCTAATTATTGACTATATTTGCAATCTGTTTGTATGTAAAGTAGCTAAATTATGTACTCAATGAACTATCAACTTCAATTGATGTCTATCACTTGGATTTGGATTTATCTTTTTTGATAAAGCTTGAGGAACAGAAGCCAAGTCTTTCTTAGTTACGTCAAGGGTTGCATAGAGTCTCAACTACTTGCAATTTGCTGATGCTAACCTCATTTGACCGCAGGTTACACGTTTACGGAAATGAATTCTTCAGCTGAGCTAAGACATGCAAAAAATTCCAATTAATCTATGCGATAAATATTAAATATATGTGCGTGCATCATCGCTACGTCATTTGTTTTACCCTGATTTTCCTTTTTCTTAACTCTTGATGCAAGAGGACTTGTATAGTAAAATTTTTAGGACTTCAAATTAACTTATTTCTGGTGTTAGTAAGGCATAAAAAAGTGTGCTCAGAGGGCTAATCTGATCATTCTGATAACCGAGTACAAAATATTAGTAATGTGGTATGTGCCTCATAAACTTAAGGATTAAAATTATATCATCAGCGATTATAAAATATCACTAACGTGGTATTTGCAAGCCATTTATGTTTCTGTGCAGAGTTCGCAGTTACTTTCATTACATAGTTATGTCATGACCATGTGAACATCAAAGAATGAAACCTGTACACTTGAGTGAAAGATCACAATGTGCTGCCCTTTGTTGCTTGGTGCAAAAATTTTAAAACATACCCAAATTTATGAATTTTTTCGCGTGCTTTGATCCAGGGATGGTGCATTCTAAGTCTTTTTTTTTTTTTTGCAATTCAAAATTCTTTTCACATCTAACCGATATATTTATATGTTTAAGACAAATCACAGTTACTGGGCAAACGTTAACATCCATTAAAGTAAAAAAAAAAAGAAAAAAAAGGAAAAAAAACAAAAAACTAAAAAACAAAATGGGTAGATCTTTCCAAGCCAGCACCAAACCTTTTATGTAAGCATTGTTGAAAATTGACCATTATAAGCATCTTTTCATCATCTTTTTGAAAGTTGCATCCTTCATCCAATTCATATTTAACAAGTGTAACTTTCTCATTGGTTATAAGATTTTTATGAATTTGATTAACAACTCATAGATTAAAGTTGGGGTCATCTCTTCAAAATGGATTGAGCAATTAAGACTACAGATCTTGTAGTATACGATGCAAGAACTTGTTTTCCTTATTTTACTTGTAATTAGAGTTTATATTCTTAGAGAATAAAATTATCAACTCTTACTTCTTATAAAACTTTGAAATTTTGATGCTATGTAAAGATTTTAAGATGAGAATCGACAGACATGAGTATATAATAAGGAGCTCTGGGGGAAGTGGTGTCACGTCCCATAGGATGGACCCACCATTGGTAGAAGAGATTTGGATCCGCTATTGGTGGATGAGGTTTTAAGATATGTATGTCTATACGTTTTAATATTTAGAAAAGATGTGATTGAGATTGATTAAATAATTAACTGTCACCTCAGAGTGTATCTACACGTATGTATTGAGCTATTGCAATGGTTGATCCGTTCCATTCATCATGATCTAGATATCTTAAAACATCTACAGAATAAAGATCATGATATTTGAATATTTCTAACATATATTTTTTATTGTCTCTTTGGTTGTGTTGTCATAAAATAATCAATTTTACTATCACTTTATGCATTAGTAAATAAAACCCAATATACCTAATTTTTGGTTTACATGTCATCCGAATCATATAGATCAAAATGAACGGAGTAGATCAAGTAAATTGATTGCGTATAATCTACTCATTTATACAAATGAGAGAACGCATGATTCACTATTCATGTTACAGAAAATATTGCAGTTGCATTTACTGTAGTTTTTTTACTGCAAAGAGGAAATTGGATATTGCAGCAATTTTGAAAAAACGCACTGTAGCACACGAGAAAACTGTAGCATTTTAAAAATCTGTAGCAGCGGCGAAACTGTAGCAAGCAAAAAGTTTAAAAACATTATTGTAGCATTTAAAAATTAGGATTACTGTAGCGAAAAAAAAGATATGTCGTGCTTTGCATGGTGTTCACGACTAGTAAGATTAGCATTTAAAAATTAGGATTACTGTAGCGAAAAAAAAGATATGTCGTGCTTTGCATGGTGTTCACGACTAGTAACCCATCAATGGTCACATATACCAATACAATCAAACGACATAGATCAATCATGGATGTGCAGCATGAAAATTACATGCAATGTGATCAGTACATGTCTATTTTCAACTGGTCCTCCTTAGTGAGGTCAAAACCAAACATAATGTAACAGAGTGTCTTAACTGAATACTTTATTCTGATCAGACAATACAACCAAACATAAAGCACCACAAATACAAACTCCCACTAAAACATAATATCCTCAAATAATACCACACCCATATGAGCAGTATGCTCATGAAAGACCTTAGGTGGCAATCCCTTAGTAAGAGGATCAGCTATCATGGAGTTTGTCCCAATGTGCTCTATGGATATCTGTCCACTCTGTACCCTTTCTTTCACAACCAGGAACTTAATGTCAATATGTTTTGACTTAGTTGAGCTCCTGTTGTTATTGGAATACATTACTGCAGATTTATTGTCACAATATAGCCTTAGTGGTCTTTCAACATTTTCCAAAATGCGCAGTCCCGTGACAAAATTTCGCAGCCATATTCCCTGATTGGATGCCTCATAGCAAGCTACAAATTCTGCTGCCATAGTGGAGGAAGCTACTAGTGTTTGTTTGACACTTTTCCATGATATAGCTCCTCCTGCTAACATATAAATGTAGCCTGATGTAGACTTCCTGCTATCTTGGCATCCAGCAAAATCAGAGTCCGAATACCCAATGACCTCTAATTTCTCTGATTTTCTGTATGTGAGCATGTAATCTTTTGTTTTCTGAAGATACCTCATAACCCTTTTGACTGCTATCCAATGATCCATACCAGGGTTGCTTAAGTATCTGCCTAACATCCCAACAATGTACGCAATATCCGGACGCGTACATACCTGAGCATACATTAGACTTCCTACAGCCGAAGCATAAGGAATCTTCTGCATTTCCTGAATTTCAAGGTTACCTTTAGGGCACTGATTGAGACTAAACTTGTCTCCTTTAGCAACAGGGGTGTCACCTGGTCTGCAATCTTGCATGCCAAACCTTTTAAGTACCTTATCGATATAGCTCTTTTGTGATAATCCAAGAATACCCCGAGAGCGATCTCGATGTATCTGGATCCCTAATATAAAAGAGGCGTCCCCAAGATCTTTCATCTCAAAATTCTTTGATAGAAATCTCTTGGTTTCGTGCAACATGCCTATATCATTAGTGGCAAGCAAGATGTCATCCACATACAGAACCAGAAAAATATACTTACTCCCACTGAACTTGTGATATACACAGTCATCAACAATGTTCATCTCAAAACCGAACGAGATAACTATTTGTTGAAACTTATGATACCATTGACGAGGAGCTTGCTTGAGTCCATAGATGGATTTCCTTAATTTGCAGACCATATTCTTTGGGTCTCCCGACACAAAGTTTTCTGGTTGCACCATATAGATCATCTCATCAATGTCTCCATTGAGAAATGCAGTCTTAACATCCATCTGATGTAACTCAAGATCATAATGAGCAACAAGTGCCATGATTATTCTGAAAGAGTCTTTCGATGAAACCGGAGAGAAAGTCTCTGTATAATCAATGCCTTCCTTTTGAGTATAGCCTTTAGCCACAAGACGTGCCTTATACCTCTCCACATTACCGTTTGCATCCCGCTTGGTTTTAAAAATCCATTTACAACCAATTGGTTTTGCACCTTCTGGTAATGGGACAAGTTCCCAAACCTTATTGTCTTGCATAGACTTGTACTCTTCATTCATGGCATCAATCCACTGTTGAGAGTTAGAACTTTTCATGGCCTGAGAGAAGTTGATTGGATCATCTTCTAACATTCCACTACTTTCCTCATGTTCTTGGAGAAATACAATATAATCATCCGGAATAGCATTTCTCCTTTCTCTCGTGGATCTCCTTAATGGCACTGGTTCTTGAGGTTGTTGAGTTTGTTCTTCTGGAACAGGGAGTTGTTCAACATTATCATCTTGAGGTTCCGGATTTACTTCTTGAGCAACAACAGGTATAGGAACCTGAATATTGTCAAAAGTAACTGTATGGATTGGATCTGAAGCCAATTCCTCCTCAAAACTAATGTCTCTAACCTTATTTCTCCCCCCAAACTCAACATCCTCAAAGAATGTTGCTGTTCCCGTCTCAAAAATGTTCCTTATAGTGGGATCATAAAACTTAAAGCCCCTAGAGCGTTCAGAGTATCCAATAAAGTAGCTGCTAACTGTTTTGGAGTCCAATTTCTTTTCATTTGGCCTATAAGGCCTTGCCTCAGCTGGACATCCCCAAATATGTAAATGCTTTAAACTGGGCTTTCGACCAGTCCAAAGCTCATAAGGTGTTTTAGCAACTGCTTTACTTGGTACTCTATTCAGAATGTAAGCTGCTGTCTTAAGTGCTTCTCCCCAGAGTGACTCTGGTAAAGAAGAATGAGCAATCATACTTCTTACCATATCCTTAAGAGTCCTGTTTCGTCTTTCAGCTACACCATTCATGCTAGGTGAACCCGGCATGGTGTACTGTGGGACGATACCGTATTCCTCTAGGTATCTAGCAAATGGTCCTGGACGTTGTTCACCTGAACCATCATATCTACCGTAGTACTCACCACCACGATCAGATCTGACGGTTTTAATTCTTCTGTTGAGTTGATTCTCAACTTCAGCTTTATAGGCTTTGAACATGTCCAGAGACTCAGATTTTTCATGAATAAGATATAGGTGCCCATAACGTGAGTAATCGTCTATGAATGATATAAAATATTGTTGACCATTCCAGGATTCCGTAGGGAATGGCCCACAAATATCCGTATGTATCAATTCTAAGACATCCGAAGATCTGTTGGCACCTAATCTTTTCACTTTGGTCTGTTTTCCCTTGATACATTCAACACATACGTCGAAGTCCGAAAAATCAAGGGAATCCAAAATGCCATCAGACACAAGACGCTCAATTCTACCTTTTGAGATATGACCTAAGCGCTTATGCCATAATGTCGCCGAATTTTCCTTATTTAATTTACGCTTAGTACCACGTGATTCCACATGCAAGGATTCATTGTAAGAAGCAATTGTATCAAGCAAATATAGGTTGTCATAAATACTCAAGTAACCGGTTCCCACAACATTTGAATTAAAAGATAAACTGAATTGACTGTTTCCAAATGAACAAGAATAACCTGATTTGTCCAATACAGAAACAGAAACCAAATTCCGTCTAAAAGACGGTACTACAAAAGTATCTTTTAAATCCAAATAATAACCAGTTCCTAACAACAACCTAAAGTGCCCAATTGCTTCCACATCTACCGATTGTCCGTCGCCCACAAAGATGTGTCTTTCAACATCACTTGGCTTTCGGTAGC